AGCAGTTTATAAGGCTACAAACAGCTACACAGAGCATTACCCTTTGCCAATATTGGTTTTATTTTTTTAACATGTTATTAGCCCCCAGAGTCTCATCTGTGAAATGGGTGGCCATACAAATCAATCAATCAAACAAACAAACAAACACAGTGTAGAGGAGAGCAGGGACTGTTGGGAAGGAAGGAAGGAAGGAAGGAAGGACAAAACCCTGGAAAATAAAACCAAGGATAGATGGGTGCAAAAAGGAAGACCAGAGAAAACAAATCTAGGCTTGAAAAGTAAGGCAGACTGAAGAAAGCCTAGAAAGCTGTAGCTGATACAAAAAGATACAAAACTTTTGCCCTTAAGGAAGAAGGGATTTGAGGTAAAACAAAGCTGAAAATCTGAGCAGAACCTCAGTATGTTGGACCCATCTGAAAGTTTTTTCTGCAGAAAGAAGGGTTCATATTAGTTGAACATCTTTCATATTAAAAAGAAGGTGAAAGCAAGATTAAGAAATACTTAAATCAGGTTAGCAACACTGTTCCATGCATGTTGGTTAAATGGAATGAGGTAAGACAATTATTACTATTAATATGAATATAGATTACTTTCTCAAATGTAAATTAAGAGAAAACATCTGTGACTGATAAGTTCTGTAGACACATTGCCAAAGTGTTTACCAAAGCAGCAATGAATGAGAAACAGGCAGCAAAAAATGAATGCAGCTCAAAGACCTTATCTCTTAATTTAAGAAGCAAGATTCTAAAAATCTTTACCAACTATCAAAGCTTTTCTTTCACTCAAAAGCTGAACACACAAAGAGAAGAAACACAAGGAGAAGTCATCTGATAAAAGTTTAAGAGATTTAAAGAAGCAGAAGCAGTAGCATACATGAAAGCCCTATCTCTTTATGACTACTTTTATCCTTCATGATTTTAGGTCAGCAGAGTGAATGATAATGCTAAATGAATTCAGCTAGAGTAGCCCTGAGACTGGAGTCTCTGATCACAGTTACGGGGAAAATATGCTTAAACTACCGTCCTGCTCACCTCCTCACTTTAAGTTGGGGGGTGAACCTGCAGCCCTCAGATATCATACCTGGGGCTTTTGGAGCTCCCTCCAATCATGACTGCTGAAAACAGCATAATTTCTTACAAATAAGTTAAACGTCAGATAATGCTTTTCAAGAATTAAAAAACAATAATGCACTCCTAGCCATTCCAATCTATCTTTTGTAACAATTAAAATATACATACATAAGTTCTACTGTGCTCAATTATCTCAAATAATCAAAATATCATCCTAAATTAATTGGAAGGGAAGACTTCCATTGTGAAAATTCGCCATAGCCTGATGCATCATATAAAAGCTTAGAAAAATTAAAAACAAGAATTCTTTATTGCTCAGAAAGAAAAAAATAAGCATGGATGTCTACAAAGAATCTCCCTCTCCAATTCAAAATGTATTTACCACTGGTATAGAACAGTGGTGGGTACTTTTAATAAAATGTAATACTGTATTCTATATTGAGAAATATGAGGACCTTTGCTGTTAGAGATAAGATACAGTAATGTATATAAAGTCATAGTGATAATCTAGGGACACAATTTCTCTTAGTTATGGAAGACCATTCTTAGAATTATCTGAAGTGATTGAGCTATACACTGCTTTGATTTAATTTCCAAACTTTCATTCATTAGCAATATACACCAAATAAAAGAGCAAAATAGATTGTGCATTATTTCAATTGCACATATGAATATTTAGTTTTATCAGGTATGAGAAAATAAAGTGTTTTGAGATATAATAAAAAAGATGGGCTTTTAGGAGAATTTGTAGGAAAAGGGTAACTGGGATGACAATACAGTAGTGAATAACATCTGATATAGCTAAATGCACTGATCCTTTGCAGCAATAATGTAAGATGTTTATAAGCATCTGTTGCCACATGCTACATTTTGTGAATCACAATCAGTGTATTCACGTATCAAATCTGAATCCTTTCCTGCAGTCAGGAAAACAAATAGTTCATAAATATACACAATTAATTAAAATATATTAGATAATTGCATTATTAGTGAGCTTCATTTTTATTTTTTCTCTTGCCTTGTATTTCATTTTCCCTAAACAGATGTTGCTTATAGGAGGGTTTTTTTTTCAGTTTTTGTTTTTAAAAAATTTGACTGGTCATAGACTATAATAAATACTGATTGACTGGTTGAATCCTCTCCTTCATCTTCTATAAGTCATTTTTGCTTCACCATCCATTGGGCACTAAGCCCATGACAAAATATCATATTTCCACATAGTAATTGAAAACTAGCAATCATATAAACCCACCAGATGGCAGCACGTAGCTGCTTTTAGCTGATGAAAAAAAACACCTCACAAACAAAAAACAAAAAACAACTCAATAGGATCAAATCAAATGAAAATCTTTATTATGGTCATTGACTAGCATAAAATAATGTAAAACAATAATAAAAACATCACTAACACTAAAATCTATATGAAAATTACAAAATTGAATATAAATTGTATTGAGACCTTATGTAATATAGCATAATATTACATATTATATTATATATATTAATATATAAGTAAACTTGATGTTGCATTAAGATAATAAAAGATATTCAGATTTTATGCTATACTAAAATGAGCTTTAGGATAACATATAATAATAAAAATGAAGAGGCTTTTATCTGATCTACTATTTCAGTTAAATCAAAATTTATTTACCGTCACAATCCAATCCAAGATATGTAATAGCTATAAATGATAATAATACTAATGATGATGATGATGTTGACCTGGTTCCAAACCTGGTTTAGAACAGAACAGCCTGTTCTGCTCTGGGGCTAAAAAATTATCTTCTTCTAATAATTCTACAAGTGTAAGTGCCTGACTTAGATTTGCTAATATACTGATAAGTCTTCCTGGGAAGCCATTGGCTAGATCAGTGTTCCTCAACCTTGGCAACTTTAAGATGAGTGACCAACTCCTAGAATTCCCCAGTTAGCCATGCTGGCTGGGGAATTCTGGGAGTTGAAGTCCACTCATCTTAAAGTTATTAAGGTTGAGAAACACTGGGCTAAATCTTCTTTCTTATCCTTTTTAAAGATAGAGATAATAATAGCCATACCCCATCCACGCAAATCTACTCATAAAAGTGAAAAAGGAGGGTAGAACTGGATTGTAGAAAGGGATCAGAATTGGTTTGTACTTGGATAGGAAGATACAGAGTTCTAAGCTAGACTGGAAAGTTAAAAAAAAAAAAACACCTGGAAAGAAGACAGTGGCAAACCACTTCTGTATTGCTATTAAGAAAAGTACTTGACATATTTACTACAAATTTACCTGGACTCAAGGGACTCATCTTTTAGTTGATCTTATGGCACAAATTAATATATTTTAAAGATAAGAATAATTTACATTAAGAACCATTGTGTCACATAAATGTGTATGTTTAATCTCCTTAATCCTCTAAGCAAAAATTGTATCTGTACTTATTTATACCTAATTTGATATTAAATTGTCGAATTAGTTTGAGAGCTTATATTCAATTGTACTTGATATCGGTGTTACTTTAAAGAAGACAGGCTCAATAACAGTGACTCGCATTTGCCATTATAACTGAGCAGACAATTTGTTCTTGCTTTCTGGAAGTTCAATATAATGCAATAATTTCCAGAGGGTGCTAGTCTGTTACAGCAAAAATATCCAAGAAACTTTGTCACTTTACAGACTGACAAGTCTATTATGTTACATAGTTTCTGGGAGATAGTAAACAAACAGGTCAGAGGTAATGAAATGCAGAAAGCAGAGACGCTAACTTCACAAGGGCCATTCACAGAACAGTTATTAGTCAGGACAGACATTCTTGAATTGGTGAGCTGACTAACACATAGTTGTATCAATAAACTAAATTTTGCTGCAAGGCACAGTCCAAGAAAGGGAGGATTATATTGGAATAATTACTAAAGGGCTATTTACATTTACAAAACCAAGAGTCCACTGTTTTTGGCTAACACTGAGAGACGAGGAAAATTCACCATGTATTCTTTTTTCATATGAAGCACACACATTTCTTGAAACACTTCAAAATTTATAAGTGGGGAAAAGGCTTGTGTAAATTCATTATGTACCTACTGTCATATGGCACCTTTCTGCATATCAAAGAGTAACATTAAAAAATTGAATGAAATGAGTCCTAGTGGTCATTCCAATACCAGGCTTATTCCTCCCAAACTTGAGTAAAGAGTGACTCAAAACAAGTGATGCTGTGATTTTTCCCCAAAGTACTTGTATTCTCAATACTATACCTATGGGCAATAATTATTATTCAATAACAGCATGCCAAAATATGTGGAATTATCTTCTTGTAATACTTCTAAGGTCACAAGACCTTATATGTTATTTTATTTTAAAACAGATATATATTTTGCTAAAAGATGATTAAATTTTTTGAGGTGGCATCATCTTCTATGCATCTTAAACTTCTATTATGATTTCTATTGTGAACAACAGGGATAATATTTTCACTGATATAAGATGTTGTGTGAGAATGACCGGGCTGTACTCACACTCTAACTCTGTAAAGAAAACGCTGCTTAATACTTATTTGTGTGCATTCACTTATCTTAATGTGGAAGAGAAGTGGCAGTAATATACAGAAAACAAGAAACATACCAGAAGATTCTCAGGTTTGATGTCTCTGTGGACAATACTGAGACTGTGAAGATATTTCAGTGCACTGGCTAGATTGTAGACCATTGCACTTCCATCACGCTCTGTGTACTTTGTTGAAGATGTAATAGCATCAAAAAGATCTCCTCCCTGTAAATAAAAATGAAGAAGAAAATCAAAGAATTTACAAACAAAACTATAAATTATGTCACAGCTGAAAGGAAATGAGAAAAGGAACTTAAATAATTTACATTATTAATTTTTGGATCAGTGTTTGGATCATCAATTTAAGTCATTGCTATGTCACAATTAGAGTTTACTTAGAAAGGTAATAATATCTGTATTAACGTTTCCATATGGAATCATATAGACAAAATAGCATCAACTCAGTAAAATAATAAAAAGGTATATATTAGTCCCATGGAAATGACTGAGATTAGATGGACAGAATCTTTTCAGATGACACAGGTTACATCCTGTGGTGTTACTAGTAGGTGGGTTGAGGCTGTGGATCCAGAGGTGATGGGCAGAAGTCTCAGTGATCTTAGCTATGCCACTGACAGACTTGACCTTTGTTTCAGTCAGCCCCATCTGCTGCCAGAGCGGGGAGTGGGAATTTGATACATGCTTCCTTGGGGGTGGATGGATGTCTGAGGTCCTTAAAAAATCACTGGCTCACCCATTCCTTAAGAAACCAGGCTGGATCTTACAAAATTAGATAACTATCATGCTATCTCAAACTTTACCATTCTGGGAAAAGTTGGTGAGAAACTGGAAGGGGTGCAGTTGAAGAGGGTTCTAAAGGTTACAGATTATCTAGACCTATGACAGTCTGAGGTCAGATCCAGGCATGGAATGGGAACTGCACTGGTTGCTCTCATGAATGACCACCCTTATCCTCTTTGATCACTGAGAGGATGTTAATACTATCAACCACAGAAACTTTCTGTGGTTGAAGTGATGATTGGGAGTTGGTGGCATGATGTTAAATTGATTATGCTCCTACCTAAGCAGGTGGATCCAGATGGTGGATGCAGGGGAGGGGATCAGGCTTTATTGTGGAGTGCTTCAGGGCTCAGGCCTCTCCCCTATTCTGTTTAAAATCTACATGAAACTGTGGGAAAGGTCTTTCATTAGTTGGGCCTGAAGTATCAATATACAGATGATATTCACTTATACATCTGCACTCTGAGCCTACTGCAAGATCGTAGGGGTCACACCCTGGTATCTGGATGCTGAGAGGGCTGGATGGAGTGGCTGTTGATTCAGAGGCTGATTCCAGAACTGCATCATCTTTATCTCTTGATGAGGTTGTGCTCCCCCAGAAAGAGATGGCTTGCAATCTGGATTCACAGCTCCTCCTCAAAGAGCCCACAGAGGTACTGACCAAGAGGGCTTTTGCACAATTCCAGTCTTAGCTAGAACAGGATGTACTGAAGATGGTTGGCCATGCTCTAATCTCTAGATTAGACTACTGTAACTTGCTCTACATTGGATTGCTCTTGAAGACCATCCAGAACGCAGTGGTACAAGTTGTTGTAATGCCAGGCTACAAATCTCCTATGGGAGCTGCACCAGTTACTGGTAGGTTTCTCAGTGAAATTCAAGATGTTAATTGCAACATGGCACTTTTGGAGATGTCCAGTGGCACTACATTAATTAATTTTTGCTTATTATTTTAATACATATTTGGAAAATTAGATAATGGGTTTTATATTTGAAGTAATTATAATACTGATTTTTACACTTTATTTTTATATTGTAAGTTCTGTAAGTCACCTCGAGATCATTAGTTTTCAGGCAGTAGACAAATTGCATAAATAAATTTATGGCTAAAACTACTTTCCTCCCCTGTGATTTTAACTGATTTTGTTTCATCCTGAAGTAAGATGTACCTTGAGAAATTGAAATACTGTGGTTTTTCACCTGATGTCGTTCTGATGATTGAACATGAGAACACAGTGACAGCCCTTAAACAGTATCCACCAATCTGGAGAGCTAATTAGATCTGGATGCCCTACAGATGTGGTTAGTTTCTCATGTTGACAAGATACTGAAACCAAATAATGGCTCCCAAATTCAGAAGTCTTTTACTGCCCTCCCAACAGTTGTACTTGGGAGAAATTTTAGGATATTCCATTCAAACAAAGACTTTGTGTTGAACAAATTACTGAAACATTAACCCATGTTTTATTATATTGCCCTTATTACAAAAATGATTACAGCTAAAAATTCCCCAGTTAGTAAGTTTTCTAGGCTACCCTAGAAATTCATTCTCTTTAGAGTTATTATTGTCTGACTAATGTGGTTTTATTTCTCTGAAAGTGGATAAGTTTTGCTTTCCATTTGTCAATTTTATAATTTTATTTTTATTTACTGCGTGTTTTTCTTCTTTTTATTATAGACTTATCAGCTATATAATAAAGTTGATTGATGGACTGGCTGTACACACATTGCTGTACATACTTATTCAGAAACATAAATTCAACAGTGAAGACTTCTGAGTAAACCTTCATAAAACAAATTACATACCTAATTTTAAAGTGATTTAGATATAGACACATTTCTCTTTGGATTGTATTACACGTTACTGTACTGGACAACAAATTTAAAGAAATGTAAATTTAAAGAAATGTATGGACTCATATTGTTGTTCATGTTAGGAAATATAGACTACTATTAAAATAAAGTTAGGCCATAATCATACTTCATGTTATCATGTTAATCTGTACACTAAACAAGCAGGTACCTGCTTCACCTTTACAACTTTAGTAGTTCTTTTAACTTCTATAAGATTCAACAACCCATTATAATGCTGTATATGTAACAAAGATGAGTTGGCTATATAATAGTTTTAAAAGTTAAAAAATTAAGACTAAAGTCACTTTTACCAACCTGGATACCTTCCAGATACGTGGATCAATTCCCAGAATTTCTCAGCAAACATGGCCATTGCCAAGAATGGGAACTAAGTCCATACACCTGGAGATCTCCCAGGAAGGCTATTCTAGGAGCATATATAAACAGAATGCAAGAATTCTTAAGTACAGAATGGATTACTTGAGAACTACCTGTTTTTCATATGTCAAAAAAATGGGGACAAAATTAGATTTTTAAAATGTAAATCAACAGTTTCTCCTACACATATCAAGTAATATGACAGCCTAGTATTAAAAATTCAAGAAAAAATATTCAAAAATTCAAGAAAAACCTATGAGGTTACATGCTGAACATGATACATTAGTTTTTCTAACCAGAGTTTATTCCTGCAATATTTTCTATACCTGGATGCTCAAAAAGTTACTAAGGGAGAGCAAAATATATGCTACAGCATACATATATGCCCAATTTCAGAAGCAATTTTGTTTTTGCACAATATTCAATCTCTAGGATGAGCTATTGTGGAGTGTGAAACAGAACATTCATGGTATGATCATATATGACTGCATAGCTTCCTGTCCAGTAACAATTAGGAATATCTCTTATCTTTGAAATGTTGAATAACGTATTATGCAGTAAAGGTAAACCAAAGGACAAAAACAGACTCACCTTGACCAACTCCATCACCAAATACAGCTCAGTGGCGGTATCCATTTCCTCTACTAGCATAATAATATTGGGATGTTTCACTCGGCGTAGAATTGACACTTCATTTTCAATCAGGTGTTCCTATATATTGTTAGAAAGAAGAGGAGGAATCCATTTTTTTTAACTAATGTAATTTGAAGGATTAAACGAGAAGCAGCAGCCTAGGGTGACGTTTCCAGGGTTCATCTCCATACTTGACCATGTGGCTATCTATCTATATGTAAAACAATACTGTAATTGGAAAGCCCTTTGCTAATAATAGTTTCAAAATATCCTAATTAAAGTTAATTTAATATGGAAACTAATCGCCGATCAGGAATATTTTTGGTGTTTTCAGTTGCAAATACCCAACGAGGTGCATCCCCATAGCTGTTTATTTAAAAATATCAGAATCATGATCCTCAGCACAGTACAAGCATTCTGTTATCATGCAGTTCATGCATTTGTGAAGAAGACTGTGGGAGGTATATGTGAACATTTTATGACCAAGGAACAACAGCAGTATTTGAAAAATCCAGGGCTATTTTTGTCTACATCATAAAGAGAAGTCAATTTACTTTCAAATCTGAGTATTTCATTAAATGTTTTGCCTTATGCTTCAGTTAGTAGAAACCCAAGTGCTAAGTGTGAATATTCTGTGAATAAGTGATACATCACATGTTGCTTTAACAAATCGCACCTTTATTAACCATTATATGACCGCATCAACAGTCTTTCTGGAACAAACATATGTCTGCTCCAAAGAAATATGTGCTGAATGGGAAAAAAAAGGCAATATATGAATGACAATAAGGTTGGAACTTAGTAAATGGGCTCATGAGGAAGGGGTGGAACTCACAAAAAACTGGAATAAAGGATAGATTGAAATAAGTCAAGTCACAACAATTAGTGTATCAGAAGAAATAACAGAAATAAAATATAACAGGTTATATGAATAAGTGCATTGCTTTTGTACACAGCTGGGATTCATTTGTATCCTTGCATTATATTGAAAGGAAAGAGTTTTGCTAGTAAAATTGCTGTGCAATGTTGCTGCAAGTGCAGGGGGAGACAAGGTTTGTGGCAGAATGTAGGTAAAGCTTCTTAAGTAGTTGCTGAGTGTCCTTGTTTGAATTGACTGATAAGAAAAAAGTAGATATTGGGAGAGCACACTGCACTTTCATTGCAGCTAAATGGCACTATCAGTAGTGCAACTTCCACCGAACAGTAAGTCAAAGATGATCACACTACCATATCTAGTAAAACATATACAGTACTCCATAAACTTAGTTATCATAACTCCAAATATGCTCCACCTCACCAATCTGTAAGCTGATACAGAAACAAGCACTGGAGACAATCGCAGCCATCAAAAACCTCTCTAGCAAAAATCATACTTGAAGCGTGTACTTTTCCCCATTGTTTAAAAAATCGAGTAAAGTCCTAGTTCTGGTGGCTTCCTGGATCCTACTCACACAAAATACAAATAAATATTATTCTGATCCTCGTAGATCACTGTATTCTGAAATTAAATACTTTTTGGAAATCGTACAATTACAACAGTGAGGGACTAAATCTACAGATTTGTTTCTTTCCACTATAACTTACTCTCTCCTGAATACATTCAACTTAGTCTCTAATTGTACTGGTGATAGGATTTTTTTTTTAATATATCCACCTTAATTTTTAAAAAAATTAACAAATTTTTAAAAATTAAATAATTATGGGCATGGTTTTACTGGATTTTTTATTTTTTCAATATCCAGTTCGCTAATTTACAACTTGGTTTATCTGTATGAAATTTCCCTAAGGATAGATTTGTGAATATACATGCACTGTTACAGCTTTATATGCAGAACATATTAACCAGAAGTCCTTTTACCTGAAAAAATATTTTCCAACAGTAGCAAGTGAATACCTAAAATAATTTAATATCCTGGTATTATGATACATAAATGCAGTATTTCTTCTTTACCTTTCCACAACATTTTCCTTTGTCAATAATCTTCAGTGCAAATTCCTTTCCAGTGGATCTACGAAGAACAAAAGGAGGAGGAGAATATTTAAATAATTCTTGTATTTCTTTTGCTTGAATACACACCTTGAAAATATCTTCCTTCAAAGGGAACAGATTACAAAAAGAAGATAGAACTGCTTTTACTTTTTTTTTCAGCAAGTCATTTCTGCTGTTGCCTTGACTACAAAAACCAGCCTTTCTGTTATCACTTAATTTACTGTGATATAAAACTTCACATTGTGTCCAGATTTATGGCCAGGTACTCCATATTTTTCATTCTGTTCTAATGAACTGATAGCCCTGTAGTTCTATAACAATGTTTACAGATGTCAGAGTGTAAAGTATAAAGAATAAAATGGACATATTCTTTTGGAATTCATTATATCAGCTACTCATTCCACATTTATATCCTTAAGAGATGCATCATATTATAAATAGTCCTTAGCCATTTTACCAGTTTCTGTTAAATTAGACAATCCAGAGGAATCCTATTTTCAGAAGTCTCAATTATAAATACAATACAATGAATAATAATTTATGTTTAAGCTACAGGTTTAAGAAGTGTTTAATCTAGCATTAGTTAACATTTCACCAGAAAACAATTTTGCTAACCAGATTTTCCAATATAAATTATAAAGGTAACTTCATCTGAAAATAAAACGAAACAGAAGGAATGAACTATGTCTTTTGAAATGGTGTGTCCAGTATACATATTACTGGTAATAACTCAATGTTATCCTATTGAGACCACAACATTCATAAAGACCAATTCAGAGGGCATATTTTTAAGAATACACTTCATAAAAAAGACAATATTCACTGGAATCACATATAGTGCAGTTTCATTCTTTGAAAGGCCAAGTTTTGCCGCAGCACAACAAAACCGTGAAGTGAGCACAGGATTATAACAAAAGTGTATTTGCTTCTGTGTAATATGTAGAATAATCCATGGAACTATATAAAATTTCTATACCTTTCTATGAGATTTATCATATCTGCCTGACAGTAGATTATTGTGCCTAGTTAACAACAAGAAACATCAAGAGTAGTAAACATTCTTTTATTTAGGCATAAGGTCATCAATTCATGCATAATACCAGAACTGCATATAGTGAAGGTGGTTAGTTCAGTAGAACAGAAGTATAGCAGAGTATCACTGCCATGAAACCACAGCTGTCTCTGCCAGGTTGTCATAGTTACAACTGGAGCCAGCTGAGAATGAAAGAACAAAAAAAGACAACTCAATAATATCTTAAGAAAAAGTAGACTGGATTGTATCAGAGATGTGCAAGGGGAAGAAATTTCAGCAAACAGCACTGTTCTACAAACTTTTGCTTAAGAGCTAGGAAAAGACTTCATACAATGTATACATGTATGTTTCCTTATGCTATGAGAGATCTGTGTGTGCAACACCTTGCACTAAGAGAAGCACATTAATTTTATTTTTCTTAAGAAATTATCTTGTATTAACAAATGATTCCTTCTATTGCAAAAGGATGTCATTTCATTTAATGTTGCCATAACCATATTAAAATTAAGACTTTTCAACTGATGAGCCAGATATTATTGCATGCTTGCACAAATATGCAAGTGTAATTACAGCTGATTCCGTTTTAAACTGTAACAGTCTACAACATACAGCGAATCCATTTTGTTTGCTCTAGTATAACATCATGCTAAAACAATGTCATTTATATCTGAAATATATACTTTTTATAAACATTTTTTAACTCCTGTTATCTTAATTAAGGTAGAAATACATGGTTCAGATATGATAACTGCAACTTCTCTAACCCTCCATCCACAATCTCCACATAAAGAAATGAATATTCCAATAACTGCCATTATAAAATTAAAGATGTGTTCTAGCTGATAACAATTTTTCTTACTAAAAAATTGGAAACATTTCAGAAAAGGACCTGTGCTGTTAACAAATGCAAATAGACTCCCACTATACACCTAATAAGGCAACTGAAAGCATGCCAGACCTGAGTCTGTTGTTGCTGTCTACACTTCTGACTTACTCTTTTTCCAGTTATTACCAGGAATATGTATATTGGACATACCATTTCAAAAGATAAAGTTTATTGCCTCTGTTTCCTTTTCAAATGAAGTTACCTTTATAGTTTCCACTGGAAAATCTGGTTAGCAAAACTGATGTCTGGGGAAATCTTAAATAATGCTAGATTAAACATTTCTTAAACCTGTAGCTTAAACATAAATTTAAATTATTATTCATTATATTGTATTTATAATTGAGACATCTGACTTCTGAAAACAGGATTCCTCTGGATTGTCTAATTTAACAGAAACTGGCAAAATGGCTAAGGAATATTTATAATATTGGAACAGGGAACATGGAGCATAAGACCGTGTACAGCACATTGCAACTTCCTGAACTTGGCAAATATTAACTTTAGATAACAGAGTACTTATTTTCAGATTTGGAGTTAGACATTTGTAATATTGTCTCCACTAGAACAACCTGGGGACACTTATTAATCTGTAATTAAAAGTAAGGAGTGCCTACTCCCAACTTTGGCTGGTGAGCCAACTATGACTTTAGCTAAACAGGGATAGTCCAGCTTCAGTAATTGGTGCCTAATAATGTCATAATTCCATATGGTGCAATCCATGAAGACAGTCTGGAAAGCTCCAGCTAGTACAGAATTTATTTTATTAGATTTAGAAGAATATAATTATTCTAAAATGCAGCTGTCCTGATTGTTAACTGGGAAGCTAAGTGGGATCACATAATGCAGGTCCTGAATGCACTGTACTGGGTGCATTCTATGAGCTATTGGGGCCAATCTAAGGAGTTGGCATTACTCCATAAAGCTCTACATGATTTAGGACTCAAATATCTGTAAATCTTAAGGACATGGATGATATCTGTGGAGATACAAGGCCACGACTTGCTTGTTTGACCCTTGCCTTTCTTGGTTGATTAAACTATACAGGCTAGGATGGTTAAGGTAGATGATAAAACTGGTCAGGCTTAACATGGTTAAGGGAGATGATCAGACACTCCTTGACTTTTCAGTGAAAATTACTTATCAAGTCATTCCAATGTGATTCATCAAGATCTAGTACCACTTAGGTCAACTTGGTGGATGATTTACATTAGATGAAAGGATTGTTACACGTTTAATTCAACCAAAATTCAGTGGAATATTTATAGAAATATCATCTAGAGTTGAATGAATACTTGTAAAAGGAATTTTATTTTACACTGGGTCTATTTAACTTAATTGGTTAAATTATTTCACATCTTTCCCAAGGCCATTACAACAGTTACAATAGATACCACTTAACTATGGTTTAGATTAATTCCAAATTCCTTATATCCATTCCTTATATGCTTAATAACAGATGCCCTTTCCCAAACATCAAGCACCTTGTTTTACCCTATTTTATTCTCCTCTCAACATACTGATTTACACTTAGGAAATTTCTTTTGTGTCTGTAGTACAATATGCTGAATGTGACATATTCAAATGCAGGTACAGTAGATACAGTCTACCAGGCAATCTGTAGGATATGTATCTCAATGATTTTTTTTCCCTGACTTATTTCAGGAAACCATCTTCAAATTCCATATCATCAACTTATATTAATAGGGTTGTTGGCCATGACCCTCTTATGGGATTTGTTACCAATGGAATACTTGACAATTACTGTGCTATGAGACAAAAGGAAAAAGAATGGTGTGAGCCTACTTTTGCTAGTAAAGTTACTGATGCACTGAATATCCTTATTGTTTTTATCATCTGTCCCTTAGATATTTTTCCCAACCATGGCAACAATGAGGTTGGGGAAAAAAAGTCAAGCAGCTAGAAACACAAAACTGCATGGAATATCAAGAATGTAAATTGTACAGTTTGACTGATAATATTAAAACATAAACAGTTTCTAGTGCTAATAAAACTTTTTCCAGGTTTCCTATTGATCACTGCATTAGTATATATACTCCATTATCATAATGGGCATTATGCTTATTTTTTTCCTTAAGCAATCAGGCCTCCCCAGTTCTAGGAGGAAAGTGATTGTGCTTCACACCTCTTCGGCAGAACCTTCTGACATCTGCAAATGCCAGAAGATACTTTTGATATTTATCATTACATACCAATAACAGTTACGAGATTTGTAGTGGACATTTCCAATTTTCTAGGAGTTAGAAATTACAATAATTTGCCCATATATTCTCACTATTCATTCTAAAGTTGCAATGAAATAATGTTATATATCCTTGCTCACCGTTCTATGCATTCCTTTACCACAGCAAAATTACCATCGCCAATCACCTTTCCCACTTTGTACTTCTCAAGAATGGTTGATGTCTCAGAGTACTTGTTTCCATTTATGCCTTCAAGATACAAAAAAGTAGAAGTTAGACAAAAGAGAAATACAATCACTATAAAATACAAGTTAAAAAAACTAAATACAATGAATCCAAAATGGAAGAACAAGTTTAAATGAGGCTCCTCCAAGTTGATATTGTTGTAGTTTCAAAAGGGAATCTCTAAAAATATGTTTCTATACCTCATTTTCTAAAAGGCTGTGCAACTTTTCAACAGGTAACTATCAAAGACTTGAAAGAATTAATTTCTCAAAGAATCAGGCCTCCTCAGTTCTAGGAGGAAAGTGACTGTGTTTCACAGCCCCTCCGCAGAACCTTCTGACATCTGCAAATACAAGAAGATTTCTGCACATGTGAAGTAGCAAACTCCTGAGGTAAATGGAGCTGAACAAAGCTATGTCAGCACAAAAGCCATAGAAAGCAGTGACACACAGCCTTTTTTAAGCATCGTGCACTCCAGCTTTTGTATTGAGGGAGACTGCCCCTGCTGTCCTGTCTGTTGTATTTAGGATATTATCAACCTCTTCACTGAAGCTGGAGTCACCCTCAGCACTTCCCAAAGCCAGAAGTGCCTGCCCAGAAACTTCTGGCTTTTGCAGATGGAAGAGGTAAGAGCCAACAGAAAGCTTGGAGACAACAGGAAGCATTTCACTGCAACAAACTATGTTGCAACAGCACTTCAATAAAGAGAGTTATGTCACCTTCAGAGCACAAATTTCTTAAATAAGGCCAAAGTTGCCTTTCTCAGTCTTATTTTCTAATGTACTCCAAAGAGAGCCAGTAGTGGTTAAGACATCAGGCTAGAAACTGGGAGACTGTGAGTTCTAGTCCTGTCTCAGGCACAAAGCCAGCTGGGTGACCTTGGGCCAGTCACTCTCTCAGCCCTAGGAAGGAGGCAATGGCAAACCACTTCCAAAATCTTGCCAAGAAAACTGCAGGGACTTGTCCAGGCAGTTGCCAAGAGTCAATACTGACTTGAAGGCATGCACACAAACACACACACACACACACACACACACACACACACACACACAC